CCATGTGCTTTTAAAAATGTTCAGCCTTTTATGTCTTTGAATCTAAAATACATCTTTTATTGACAGTTTGTATTTGAATTTTTACAACCTGAGAATTTCTATCTTTTGATTGAATTTTAAAATCCATTTCTATTTTTTGGTTATTATTGATATACATTTGGTCCTCTATATCAGTGAATTCTGCATCCATGAGTTTAACAAACCATCAGTCAAAAGTAGGGGAAAAAATCATGTCTGTACTGAATATGTACAAACTTTTCCTTTTCATTATCCCCTGAACAGTACAAATTGGTGACTATTTACATAGCATTTTCACTGATTATATACTATATGCAGTTTAGTAATGTTTTAAAGCATATGGGAGGATGTGTATTATATGTAAATACTAAGCCCTTTTATATAAGGGACATGAGCATGCACAAATTTTTGTATGTGAATTCTTAGAGATTCTGAGGGATGACTTAGAATGTACAAAATGTTTTGTTCAGTTGAATTTACAGCTACCATTTTACTTTTTGTTTTCTATCTCACAACTTTTGAATCACTCTGTTTTATTTCTGCCTTTTGCATGAAATTAATTTATTTAACGTTTTAATTCTTCCAATGATCATTTCATTTTAAAAGTTATTTTCCTGGTAGTTCCTTAGGACTTACATAGTGAGTCTTATAATCTATTTTAGATTTAGACTTTATTAACTCCAATAAAATATGGACAGGTTATTCATATAGCCCTGTTCTCTTTCTCCATTTTTGTCTCATTTTTAAAATACATATCACTTTTGTATTTTGTATATTTTTTGCTATATACATTAATTTATTTTTTATTTTTTAAATTTATATATGAATGTATTACAATTCTTATTACACATATAGAGCACAATTTTTCATACCTCTGGTTTTATACAAGTATATTTCATACCAATTCCTATCTTCATACATGTACTTTGGATAATAATGACCATCACATTCCACCATCATTTCTAACCCTATGCCCCCCTCCCTTCCCCTCCAACCCTTCTGCTCTATCTAGAGTTCATCTATTCCTCCCATACTCCCTCTCTCTACCCAACTATGAATCAGCCTAAGCATAACAATGTGTTGTTATAACTGTTACTTTATATAATATGTTGTCTTTTAAAGAAGATGAGACAGAAAAAGGTAGCAAGTATATATTTGTAGTTGTTATATTATTCAGTAATGACTTCTACTTCATTTCTTTTATTAACTGTTGTCATTTCCTTACCCCAATATAGATTTGTTCCTTTGTCTCACTTTGCTTTCTTGTTAAAGGTATATTTCTGTATGCTACAGGCAGGCCCAGTAATACAGTTATGTATAGATGGAATTTGTACTTTTGCTTGTCAGATTGTTTGGGAAAAGAAAGGAAAATAATTTTGCCTTTTTATTCTCTTTTTCAATTACCTAATTGCCTTTACCCACAAATTTTATGCATTTGAACGAGTGTTTGGAATCACTTGTCTTCAGCTTAAAAAACTTGTATGTCTTTTATGGCTGATGTACTAACAATGGAAACTTGAGTTTGTCATCCTACTTCTTCTGGTCTCTACTGTCTCTGATGAAAAGTCTGTTGTTACTCTTATTCTTTGTATGTGATGAGGTGTATTTTTCTTGATGTCTACAGTATTTTTTCTTTGTGAACAGATTTGTATGTTTTGGGGCTTTCATTTCTTTGAATATTTTTTCTGCTGCTTAGTTTTTCCTCACTCCTGATACTTCCATTATGAATATATTGGGGGAGTTAATGAGATTTCTCAATTTTTTGAGACTGTTTTGACTATTTATTCTCAATTGTTCCACTTTCAAGTTTACTGATTCGTTGTTGGTTTGGTTCAGGGACAGCCTAGAAGTGGACGGTCTTATATTTAGAATTTGATTCTTGGATAGATCTGACACTACAACTAGGAAAGGATAGGAGAGTTTTCAGAATTACAGTTAAAGAATATAATGTATTATTTACATGTATTGTTCATCTCTCATTCCACATGGAATGCAGGTACAATAAAAACAGAGATTGCCTGTTTTTCTCACTGTTGAATTTCCATTTTCTTGATCCAGGCTTGTCATGAAGTAAACACTCAGAAATGTGAAGGATGTTGGTGTTGTAACAAATGAAAACAAAAAATAAAAATAAATTAGCCCAATTAAAACAAAAACAGATTAAAAGGGGTGAACAAACATTTTTCACAAGTGTATATACAAATGGATATAAAAACACTAAAAGATGTGAAATTGCATTTTTAATAGAGAAATATAATAAGATCAGAGTTAACTACTACTTTGTACTGTTGTTGATAATATGGAGTAGTGGGAATTCTTATATAATGTTGTAGCTCAACCACTTTGGAAAAACAATTTGGAAAACAATTTATTATCTTGAATAGTTGAATAGTGTTTTAGTGAGCCTTTTTGCTGCTGTGACCAAAAGACCTGACAAGAACAATTTTAGAGAAAAAGTTTATTTGGGGCTCACGATTATAGAGTTCTCAGTTCATAAATGGTTAACTTCATTGCTCTGGTCCCCGAGGTAAAGCAGAACAACATTGTGGAAGGGCATGGAGGAGGAAGGCAACTCAGAACATGGCCACCAGAGAGCAGAAAGTGAGTTCTCTCATCAAAGACAAACATGTACCCCAAAAACACATACCCCCCATGACCTACTAACACCAGCTACACCCTACTTGACTACAGTTACCACCCAATTAATCCCTATCAGGGGATTAATGCACTTATTAGAGTAAGTCTCTCATAACCCAATCACATAGATAAATTCCTTTTGATTTAGTTTTATACTTTATATCTTTGGGAAAAGCTTTTGCATCAAACTATGAAGAACATTGCATTTTTTTAAAAAGTATGTCATTGTTAATCTATCATAGATACTTTTTGAATTATAGTGAAAACATAAAACTACCTTAAGATTTCTGTTAGAATATAGTTTTCCCTGTTCAACCAAGAAGGAAGAGCAGGTAGATTAAATTTATCCTTCCATCAAGTCTGTCAGACATCAAGTTGCAGTTCAAGAATATAATATACTATTTACATATATTGTCATCTTTCATTCTGCATGGAATGAAGGTATAATAAAAACAGAGATTGTGCCTGTTTTTCCTACTGTTGAATTTCCATTTTCTTGATCCAGGCTTCTCATTCAAGTAAACACTCAGAAATGTGAAGGATGTTGTTGTTGTAACAAATGAAAACAAAAAATAAAAATAAATAGCCCAATTAAAACAAATATATGAAAAAAATATATGAATCAATGAATGATTTTTCCAAGAAAGTTTTTCCACATTCATTATACTAAAAGCATTTATCTCCTGTGTGTACCCTCTTGATGTTAAGAAAGGTGAGACCTCTCCCCAAAAACTTTCCCATATTTATTACATTTCAAAGTGTTTTTCTCCTTTTTCTAAAGTTATAAGAGACATAACTTCCTCCCAATATTATTCCCACGTTCATTATGTCCACAGTATTTACCAGTAGCCCATTTATGTTAGAAAGAGGGTAGCATCCCACAAGATTTCTCATAAATACTTAAATCTACTGTGATTCGCCTCTGAGGTAGATATATGAGGAATTATCACAAAAAGTTTTTTTTTTTGAGAATGTGGATGAAGTCTTATTTCTAGAAAGTTTTCTTAGATTGAAAATTTTAAATATTTGGTGTATTGTGTTTTTTTCCTCTTTAGGGACTCCTATGTATATATTTAGTTGCAAACTATCTTATTCATCCTGGCTTATTTTTTTGATCCAGTTTTCTTTCTTTAGACTTATTTTGATAATACTTCTCTTTTTCCTCTCATTTCAAGCTCTTTTTCAATATTATTTATTAAAATTTCAATCTTTTTTCCTTGGTATCTGCATTAATCTTCTTGGGTTATTATTTGATTATACCACAGATTAGGTATCTTAATCTATTTTTATTTTTTCACAACTGTAGAAGGTTTCCCAATATGAAGGTGCCATCAGAATTGCTTTCTGAGGAGTTACCTTTCCTTGGTGCACAGATGTCATCATCTTGGTGTGTCTTCTTGTACACTTTTCTCTGTGTGGTAGATGGAGTGTGTGAGAGAGACAGAGAAAGAGAGTGCATGTGCACTGAAGGCTTTCCTTGTCTTGGTCACCAGCACCATCAGGTTAGGGCACCATCTTTATGACCTCATTTATATAACCTTGATTACTTCCTTAAAGGTCCTTAAGGAAGTAAAGATAACCAGTTACATTGTAGGTCACCATAATTCAGTCCATAACAGGTTTCTTGTAATTTAAGTGATAATTTCTCTAATCACTTTGTCCTTCATAAAGTTTTATTCTTGACTTTAATAAACCCTTGCCTCTTTACTTTTTATCCACTCCATGTTCATTCTCTTGGATTTCCTAGTAGTTGAAGCTCTGATCCACCTGAACTCAGACATTTTCTTATTATTTTCCCACTCACTGAAGAACTTTACCTTTCTGAGAGTAATTATGATTCATTACTTCTGGGTTCTCTGTCCATCTTTACTTGTGACTTTCTTCATATATGTGGGCTCTCAATTATTCTGTTTTTGAAATTTCCTTTCTTTGTGGTGAGTTGAAGGAACTAGCGTTTTCTCCTAGTTATGCTAAAATCATGCTGTTATAGCTATGATATAGGTAAATCATGCTGTTGGCTCTGCTTGTGTCATATATGTGTTTTAGAGAATGCATGCAGAGATTCAGATTATTATTAAAACATTGGAAACCAAATGTATCTATTCAAATAGCCAGATTCTTTTCCCTTCTTCTGCTTTACCAGAACTTTTGTTTACTTTTTTCACCTCAAAGCCATGTAATAGAAGAAAAATGTATTGCAGTTATATCAGTCCCTGGAAATAGGGCAAAAATCCACAATCAGCATTAACATAAAACATTTATATAGAGATCTTGAGGTCTTGTTCCATCAAAAATGTATTATTAGAATTTAAGTGGTAAGTAAGATTAATTTTCCTTATTTCTAGAACTTTGGAAAGCTGATTATCTGAAGGAGCAGAGCCAAGAAGATTTGTGGAAAGTTGTATTCATCAGTAACAAAATGCTGACAAAGGAACAAGGTAATATAATAGGAAGGCCATTTGACTTGGACATAGATTCTTTTCCTTCCAAGAAAATACTCTGTCAGTGTGACTCAGACGGAAGAAGTTTCAACAATATTTCCAAATTGATAATTAGTAGGAAAAAGTACTTAACAAAAAAGCCTGATGAACTTAATGCCTGTGGGAAATTGCTATTCAAAATTAAACATGAGAAAACTCATACTGGAGAGAAAATTGAATTTTTTAGAAATAGGAGTACTTTCAGCCATTACAAGGGTCCTATTCAGCAAGAGAAGATTCAAACCTTAGAGCAAACTTCTGAGTATAATATATATCCGGAAACCTTCCTTGAAAAGACAATATTCAACACATACAAGAGAGAGAACATGGATGAGAATTACTGTGAATATAGTGAATATGGGAGAATTTTTTGTGGTAATTCATCTCTCTTGTTCCCTCACATACCTACTTCAAAGGAGAATCACTATGGATTTAGTGATTATGAGAAATCCTGTAGGAAGCTAACCTCTTTCAAGTATGATGGGCTACCTGTAAAATACTGTGATGAATATAATCAAAATGGGAATAACTTCAGGAGGAAATTATGTCTCTCACAACTTCAGAAAACTGATAAAGGAGAGAAACACTTTGAATGTAATGAATGTGGGAAAGCATTTTGGGAGAAGTCACACCTCACTCGACATCGGAGGGTACATACAGGAGACAAACACTTTCAGTGTAATGAATGTGGAAAAACTTTCTGGGAAAAATCAAACCTCACTAAACATCAGAGATCTCACACTGGAGAGAAACCCTATGAATGCAATGAATGTGGGAAAGCCTTTAGTCACAAATCGGCCCTCACACTACACCAGAGAACGCATACAGGGGAAAAACCCTATCAGTGTACTGCATGTGGGAAGACTTTTTACCAGAAGTCAGACCTCACTAAACATCAGAGAACACATACAGGACTGAAACCTTATGAATGTTATGAATGTGGGAAGTCCTTTTGTATGAATTCACATCTTATAGTACATCAAAGAACTCACACAGGCGAGAAACCCTTTGAATGCCTGGAATGTGGGAAATCCTTTTGTCAAAAGTCACATCTTACTCAACATCAGAGAACGCATATAGGGGATAAACCCTATGCCTGTAATGCTTGTGGGAAAACTTTCTATCACAAATCAGTACTTACCAGGCATCAGATAATTCATACAGGATTGAAACCTTTTGAATGTTATGAATGTGGGAAAAACTTCTGCTTAAAGTCAGACCTCACAGTACATCAGAGAACTCACACAGGAGAGAAACCCTTTGCATGTCCTGAATGTGGCAAATTCTTCAGCCATAAGTCAACCCTTTCTCAACATTATAGAACACATACAGGAGAGAAACCGTATGAATGTCATGAATGTGGGAAAATTTTTTACAATAAATCATACCTAACTAAACATAATAGGACACATACAGGGGAGAAACCATATGAATGTAGTGAATGTGGAAAAACGTTTTGCCAGAAGTCACAGCTCACTCAGCATCAGAGAATTCACTTAGGGGAGAAGCCCTATAAATGTACTGCATGTGGGAAAGCTTTCTGCCATAAGTCAGCTCTAATCGTACACCAGAGAACCCATACAGAAGAAAAGCCCTATAAATGTAATGAATGTGGGAAGTCTTTCTGCGTAAAGTCAGGACTTATTTTACATCAAAGAAAACACACAGGAGAGAAGCCCTATGAATGTAATGAATGTGGGAAATCCTTTAGTCACAAATCATCCCTTACAGTACATCACAGGGCTCATACAGGGGAGAAATCTTGTCAGTGTAATGAATGTGGAAAAATATTTTATCGTAAATCAGACCTTGCTAAACATCAGAGATCACATACTGGGGAGAAGCCCTATGAATGTAAGGTATGTGGGAAAACCTTCTCTCAAAAATCAAACCTCATTGTACATCAGAGGACACACACAGGAGAAAAATCTTATGAGATAAAATAAATATTTGAAATATTTAGCCACAAATCAGTTGACAATACAAAATATTAAAACTGCAGAAAGCTCTGTTGACATCCTAAATTATAGTAACCTTTATCCACAAATTGGCTTTACTTTATTCCAGAGTAATGATGGAGGATAAACTCAACAAATTTAGGATGGCCTTTGTTAAGAAATGACATCCTAAGGTAATGGTAATACAAAAACTCATAGATTCTTTTGAATTTTGAAAAATTTTTAGGTAAAATACAAACTAAATTATGTCAGAATTTATATTGAGAAATTTATGAATCTGAAAAATAAAATGAAATTTTACTTAGAAGTAACATAGTACTACAAGTTGTATTTTGAGTTTGATACATTAATTGTATTTAGAAAAGTAATTTATGCCTATATGTTGCAGAATATAAAACTTTAAATAGCATATTTTAAGTACTAAAAAATGTATATTCACAAGAAGATTCAGTAAGAGTACAGAGAGAATTCCTATGTGCTTTTAATCAGCCTTACTGTAATGATGATATGTTATATAACCACTGTGTGTTCTATAATACAAGAGATTGGTATGCTAATCTTATATAGACTTTATTCAGATTTTGCCAGTTTTTACATGTACCCTGTGTTTTCTATGTAGTTCTATTAAGATTTAACGTTAGGTTACAAAACTGAAAAGGAATCTGGGGTCTGTATGGCATCAGGATTATACAGGATTATGCATCAGGATTTAATCTCAAGAATTTTCCTCTTGTTAAAAATACTCTCCTTCTGCAACCATTGAATATTAATCTTTTGAAAGTATAGATCATTGAGTAATCTGGGCAACAGGGTTAAACACATATGAGAAGTGTTCCTAATGTTTATAGACTTAATATGTGTCTAAGTGTTAAGGTATATAAGGTATGTATGTGTTTCATATGCATAATGGAACTTAATGTAATTTTGAAAAGGAAGTAGGTATCCTTTCCTTAGTGCTTGTTACATCAGGTCCATGTTCAATGTTTATAAAACCAGAATAACAGTTTAAATGAATGCCCACATAGCTAATGTTTAACCATTCAAAAACTACAGATCAAAATAAAATGTTAACAAATGATTCCATGCATGAAGAGCTCTAGGCCCTACTCCATATCACTCCCTTTCTTTTCTCACCTAAATTTCATCCCATGCCATGGAGTGCCCTGGTATAAGTATGTAAACTCTTGTCCAAACCTTCTGTAAACAGCTGCCCAGCAAGATAGGAGCCATAAAAGAGGCCCACACATGTACACTAGATGCCACTCAGGGCTTATTGGGCTGTAGATTCAGAAATCTGATATATACAGGTAGGAATCTGGGCCTTCAGAGACTTCTGACAGTATGAAGAGGAGGGTTGCAGCTGGAACAGGGCCTGAATGGAGCTAGAGTGGGGTTTTTTATTGGCAATGTAAAGGTCATATATTACTTATTATAATATAAAAGTTATATTATAGTCTAATAATCCTAAAGTACACATTGCCGCAGTCTGGCTGGGCACAATTCAGGAGCCACTTATCAAGCAGAAACGAACTTTATTTTTAGAACACACACGCCACACCACATGAGCTCTTCAGGAATTCCCTCAGAGCCCAACTGCCACCACCGGCTTCCCACAAGCCTCTCGACCCCCCACTCCTCCTGCTCTTGAGGCCAATTGGCTGGGTCGCATGGGTGGAGCCAAAAAAAGTCCCACAATGAGCAGCTCCATGGTCTGAAAGGGCGGGGAAACAGCCCAATGAGCATCACCGTAAAGGAGCCAATCAGCTGGCAGCTGGAAGTTTGCTGGGGCCACTGTGAGCCAATCATCAGCTGGCAGCTGGAAGTTTGCTGGCAGCTGGAAGTTTGCTGGGGCCCCTTTAGCTGTGGCTCTCAACATCTCCCCCTCTCTTGTTTAAACAACAAGCATGTGGCTTAGGGACCGTGCCTGCCTTAGGTTGTCCAATAGTACATATGGTCCTTACCCGTCATCGGATGAGCTGACCTCAAGGTGTCAGCCTCCTGTCTTAGGTTGGTACCATTGTAATTGGATCTTACCTGTCATTGACTACCGGTCCAGCATACAACTACACCTGTGGATAGGTCTTTGTACCAGCGGGAGGGGGGGGGTGAGGTTCTTTGCCTCACCTCTGTTGGCCCCCAAATTTTAGCTGAACGACCATCACAAGCAGAAGGGAGGAGGATACACCAAGCCAATTGACAGCTCCTTTTGGAAAAATTATACCATTGATGACACCAGCAGCAAAAATACCCCAACACTACCACAATTCGCTGCACCAACAGATGGTTCACAATGCATACAAGTGAGTTCACAATGCATACAAGTGATACATAGTCCAGGCAAGTTCTGCAAGCAGTTCAGTGATAGCTATTGCAGAAGCTGTAGATTAGTTTTATCTTTGTCTTCACTGGCACTGGGATGAATTCTGGCAATAATGGCTAAAGAAAAAATTATGTAACATTCCAGAAGGCACTAAAAGAAAACAATTTTCTGAACAATTTACATTATATCTTGAACAGAATTATTAAATATAATGAAAAGGAAAGGTGAAAGTAAACAGATCTGTTAACCTCCTTTTTTGTTCACATATTAAAACAATCCTCAACAGCTGTTTAACCAATTTAAATTAAACCATTTAAGTCACATGAATAAAAAAAAAATTTGGATCCATTTTTTCATGAGCGCTCATCATATATGATATATGGACATAGGTACATACAAACATACAACACAAAACACAAGTGTGCACACATAATACATACAACACATAACATAATAGTAAAGTCCTTATAACTTTTTACAGGTGAAATCTCCATTGCAATGTTTAAAAACTCTATAGTCAAAAAATATGACTGATCAGCAAAACATTAACCTAGGTCTGTATGAGCTCAAAAAACAAAATAGAACTTCATGATGTGGGAAAGGGCAATAATAAAATAGATATTGAAAAAAGCATCCTGGTTCTGTCGCAGATGTAAGGGTAGCCAAACTGGAGTTCTGGATATCAGCTGTTATGGATTTGTGCCAAATCATCTTATTTTTGGTCTGTAGAAATCGCTTTAGTTAATCTCTCTGGAATCCAAATCAGCTGCTGTTCTCCCTGTGGAAACACACAAACAGACCCCTGACTCCAGACAATCACTGGGTCAGGACCTTAGTTAATCTCTCTGGAATCCAAATCAGCTGCTGCTCTCCCTGTGGAAACAAACAGACCCCTGACTCCAGACAATTACTGGGTCAGGACCTTTCCATTGTCCTGTTAGAATATCCTTCCAAAGTACCTTGGGCTTATGCACATTTTTTGGACACATATGCCTTTCTGCAGCACTAAGTCCTGATGAATCCAAATTTTAAAAGTTTAGAGTAAAAAGGGTTATTTTAAGTTAATCTTTGGGGAATATATACCCCTTCCCAATTCCCTCTTTTTTTGCTTTAATGAGTACATTTTAATAGTTTGATGAGCTCTTTCAATTATGCCTTGTCCCTATGGATTGTATGGGATTCCTGTTATATAAGTAATGCCAAATGATGAGCAACATTGTTTAAAAGAGGTAGAAGTATAACCAGGGGCATTATCTGTTTTTAACTGTTTTGAAACGCCCACAGTGGCAAAATTTTGTAAGCAATGAGCTATAACATCTTTAGTTTGTTTCTCCAGCATGAAGGGAGCCCATCAAAAATCCAGAAGAAGTATCAACTGTAACATGCAAATATTTTAATTTTCCAAATTCTGGCAAGTGTGTGACGTCCATCTGCCAAATATGGTTAGGTATCAGTCCTCTAGGATTGACTCCAAGATTAACTTGTGGTAAAAAGGGCACACAATTTTGACATTGTTTTATTATTTGTCTAGCTTGTTCCTTAGTTATTTTAAAATGCTTTTGTAAAGTATTAGCATTGACATGGAACTTTTTATGAAAATTTGTAGCTTCTTCTAGTGTAGAGAAAATATGTATGTCATGTGTAGTTTTATCTGCTAAATCATTGCCCAAACTAAGGGCTCCAGGCAATCCTGTATGTTCCCTGATAGGTCCTATAAAGAATGGATCTTTTCTGTCCCAGATTAGACTTTGTATAGTGGAAAGCAAAGAGAAAACAGTAGAGGAAGGGGAAATCCTCCAGCATCTTCAAGGGATACTATAGCATTAACTATATACTGACTATCGGAAAATAAATTAAATACAGAATCTTTAAACATCACAAAAGCTTGTAATACTGCATTAAGCTCTACCTTTTGAGCTGATTGTTTGGGTACTAAAAATGTAAAAGTTTGATCAGGTGTAACTATTGCTGCTGTACCATTATTTGACCCATCAGTGAATATATTTGGAGCATTCATGATAGGTGCTTTTCTTGACATTTTTGGAAAAATTACAGGATGCAATGACCAAAAAGACAATAAAGGATTAGATGGTAAGTGGTTATCAAATCACATAAACTACTCTTCTGTCTTCTGAAACTAGAAAAAGAACAAATTAAATCCAGTATAAGGGGAAAGAAAAGTAACATTGAAAGAAAAGCAATAAAATCAAGAAATGATTCTTTGAAAAACATCAAATCACTTGATAAATTTCTAGCCTAGTTAACTAATTTTAAAGAGAAGAGGCCAATTGCTAATATCTAAAATCAAAAGAGAAGCCATCCCATGGACATTCAGAGGATTATAAAGGAATATCATGGTCAGCTCTGCCCATAAATTGAATAACATAGCTGAAATGGACCAATTCCTTTAAAAAGGTGTATTCTAACAAATTCATGAAGGGATAAACTGTGAATGGATACATTTAAAAATTAAGCATATTGAAGAAAGTGAATCAATACTTAACAACCTTTCAGCACTGACAGTACTAAGACTGGATGGGTCCAATGGTAAAGTATACCGAACATGTAAGGTAGAAATACTACCAATCTTAACAGCTTTTTACAGCATTTAACAACAGATGGGATGTTTCCTAACCCAATACATGTGGCCAGCATTACACTAATAGCCTAACCATATATGACAGGAAAGGGGAACTACAGACCAATATTGGTCACAAATGTAGATGTAGAAATTCTCATCAAAATATTGATTAATCAAATTCAACAATATATAAAAAGAATTGTACACCATGACCAATGAGGCAGGTTCAATATTCAGTGATCAGTGTAACCTATATCAGTGGGCCAAAGATGAACTGTTATCACAATCAGTAGTTGGAGAAAAAGCATCTCATAAAATCCAATATCCATTCATGTTAAAACATCTCAGTAAACTAGGAATAGAAGAAACTTCATCAGTGTGGTAAATAATTACTTCAAAGGGTCCTTCAGCTAACCTTATATTTAATGTCTTAAATATAGGTGCTTTCTGGTTAAGATCAGGAACAAGGTAAGGATGCCCACTCTCGCTACTGTTTTTCAGCATCCTTCTGAAAGGCGTGGTGAATAGAAATAGACAGGTAAAGGAAAAAAAAATACAGAGATTTTGAAGGAGGGATGAGTAGACGGAGAGGTGTATTTTTAGGGCTGTGAAAATATTCTGTAGGATACTTACAATGGTGAATATACATCAGTTTACATTTATCAAAACCTATAGAACCTAATCTACAGAGAATTAACCAAATGTAAACCATGGATGTTAATTAATAGTTATATTAGCTAACATCTTTTCTCACCCTAAAATGTAGTATCAGTATGGGCTCATCAATTGTATCAAATATACTATACTTATGCAGATGTTAATAATAGTTGTAGTTGTGGGGAGAGATGAAGGATTATATGGGATTTGTCTATTTTTTGCTCAATGTTTCTAGTATCCTAAAACTGCTCTAAAAAATGATGTGTCTTAAATAAATAACCAAGCAAATCTGCTTATGTATAGCAATATAATATAGATGGAATCTATATAAAGATGCTTACATATTTTGCAATATAAAAACAAACATTGCTAGTTTTTCCCTGTAGTGTGGTGAGAGGCATGAGTAAGGGAACACAGTCTCAGAATTCTCAGGTTGACAACCACTAAGCCTATTTCCAATTATACCCCTTTGTTTTTCTAAGCCTTATGGTTTTTTGAGAATTATATTTTGAGAAGTATTTTAAGTTCC